AATGCCTTCACTTAAAAGACAAAGATCTAATTGTGTGTAATTTTGACAGCTCTACATTGCAGTTGAGTTCCTGTCTGTCTGGAAGCCAGAGTATGAGATGCAACTTTGAAAAATTACTCAAATTCAAAGATCAGTCAACAGCATACTTGGTTACTATGGGGAAACAAGTGAAACAAAAACAGTTTGAGTGAAGGGAGAGAGCACCCTATCCACCTTACATCTGTAGTCAAGGTAGGTCAAGGTCATTGTAAGCGTCTCTTTCTCCTAGACTTAAGTCGAGGTATGAGGATTCTCCGTCATCAGGTCTGCTTGAGGTGTTAACTATTTCACTTTAGCCTGCCGAACATCAGCGCATGTTTAGGCGGCACTCACTCAACTCTTTCTCATGAAAACCTGATGAAAGCAAAGACAAAAAATACCCTCTCCACGCCAGGCCTTCTTATGAGATAGCAGCAAAGCCCCTTGACGCCCCGTGACCAAGACACCCCATCTGAAGATTTCCTTTGAAAATAATCTCGCCAATAAATGGAAAACATATCCTCTTACAAATCTATCATGCAATCTGACCTTTTGGGCTCAAACTCAAGCAAAGCAGAAAGGAGAGTCCGAGGCATGTAGAGGCGCTGCGGCTCTCCTGTGTATTTAAAGGGCCAGCATTGACTTTGGCAGTGCTATTCTAACTTCCCCAATGCTAACTGGTCTTTTCTACTAACATAACAGTATATTATTCTATACTGCCAAGCGTGAACCACAGAACTCTCAGAGTGCAGAGATGGATGGGACTTCCCCAAATAAACCAGAGGATTAGCCTAAACCCAAAGTTGGTCAGTAGTAGCAGGCCCAAATTCACACAAAAACTATTACTGCACTGATTCACTGCCTAGGGCACCACACAGCTAATAACTATAAATTAAAAATGGGCTCTACCTCCTGTTGTGAAAATTGGATTTTTGCTCGCTGTATATTTTATTTGAATATTTCGGATAACAAGCATAGAGCTGGTTATTTGGACAGCTTTCTCAGTTGGACGAGATCTGCACTGTCTCATGTGTCATACCAATATGGAGTTCATTTAGCAGGGCCACTTCTGACGATAATCCCCCTTTAGTCTGCGTGAGGGCTGTTTGTTATGGCTAACGGCTAGGCTAACCTGAAGAAGCTAGCTACAGTGTGAATCAGACTGCAGATGTGGGATAGTGTTTGCTTTGCTTCATGCTGGATTTCCGATGACTTATTTTTCTTTTTCACAAGAACAGTCAAATTTAACTGTTTATTGGTGTGAAACATCAGGTGGAGACACAAACAGGGAGAAAAGCCATGGCCAAATTCCAAAAAGAATTAAGTGCTATTCATAGTGATATGGAGGAGAGCTTAATAGTAAATCCCACACATGGACAGTCAGTCTAGAGCAAAGTGTGAGAAGTCCCCTGCTCTGCATGCAAAGAACATTTACAATCACAATATAACTGACCATATATGTAAGGCTGCCTAAAGGTGTCTTTTATAATATTTGTACTTACTTGTCTTCTACTTCCACTCCTCACGTCTTACCAAAAGAGAAATACTTAAGAGGGTGTCGGCTGTTACCAACTCATCGACCATATGTATGAGGTCAAAGCCTTGTTTAAAGTCATTGATGAATGTGTAAACCTTTTTAGATCATAATAAGCCTGTAAAACCAGCATCTGAGTTAAAAGCTAATCTGAAATTTCTGAACTTGTGTGCATCTGTCTAGTAATGACCACCAAACCTCCTCTTTCACATTTTACACATGGTGAGGAGACCAGATAAAATACATAAATATCAAGAAATACACATTTTATTTACTTAAATATGGGAATTGGCTTCACAATTCATTTGTATGTGATAAAACATAAAGTAACTTAATGTAACTTAAGTTGGCTAACCAAGTCACTGAGTTGAAACAAGCAAAGATCAAGAATTTCGTGTCATGAACGTCTATGTATGCCACTGCCAACTGAGTAAATTTGTTGTTCTGAGGAAAAACTCACTCATAAATGGCTAACTGGAATCTGTGCCTACACAAGGCACGCTCACACAGCCACAGCCAGACCAGGGCCATGACATCACAGGTTATTTGTGTGTGGGAACTGACCTGGAGGAGGAGTGATGTCAACTTTCACTGAAACTAAAGAACTGACATCACAGACATCTATATAAGGAATCTCTGGCATTGGCACATAGCTTTAAACAGCTAATGGCTGCTTGAATACTTTCACCTCTGAACCCTGTGACCAACTGCACATCCACAAACTTTGTGGTATTATGATTCAGTATTTTTCACCACAATCCATTGGTCATCTGTCATAGTCTGAAGGGGATGAAGGGGACATGACGAAAAATTCATCACAATCACAATCTAAATCTCATTTTCCTAAACTTTTCACAACACAGACATTTAATTAGACAGACATTGGTCTTAAGTCTTAAAGATCCTATATGATGCAAAATTGACTGTTACATGTTAACTGATGCTGTTACCTCCTCAAAAACATACCCACCTTTTTTTTCATTCACACATGTTTGAGAAATCCTTTTGTTAGGATCCGTCTATATCTTCAAATTTCAAAATGCTCTGTTTCACCTTGTGATGTCATCGAGCAATTGTTTTCAAGTTAACAGCTCCTTTGTAGCTTTTGTTAAGTACAGATTGGCAATTCCAGGGCTGGCATTAACCAAATGATTCTAGTAAAGCTATATGGAGTTTAAAAACACAGTGGAGATCTTCCTGTATTACCACATGACATCATAAGGTGGAACAGAATGTTTTCTATGTGAGAGGAGATCTCTGCCTAAATATGCAAAATATGTGTATTAAACATGTGGGAATGAAGACTCCAGGTGTGTTTTGATGAGGAAACAACATTATAATAACATAGATCAGAAAATTGCATAACACGGGCCCTTTAACTTGTCATTACCCTCAGACCTGATGTTTTTACTGCCAGCAAATTAGCTCTAGCCCTCTCAATTAAAAAGCCCCTAGCAGCTCATTAACGATTTCAAATAAGTGGATCTCTATTCAATTAAAATGTGATTAATTGCACATACCTACTCCAAACCAGGGCTTGTGAAAATCGTGGCATTATTTTTTTTGCCAAGACCTCCAGGCAGTAGATGGCCCCGAGAGAACTGTAAATTGGCAACTTGGCCTCTGGGTTGAGCTGGGCAGCCTTGGGACATCTGGCTACAGGACACAAGTTTGTACATTATGGGCAACAACATATAATCCTGAGAGTGGTGGCGAAACTAAACTCAAGGCCTGCTGCAGAAATGCTGACTGTGGAAAACTGTGAGCGAGGGATGGGATAGAGAGAGAGAATGAAATACAGCGGGAAAGAAGCTGTGTGTGGCCTGGATGGAGAGATAGAAATAGAGCGAGAGAGAAGATTAGAAAGAGCTGACCAAAGACCCAAAAATTTTCGCATTGCCTCAGATGGCTATTACACTTTGCCCATATAAGGTCATTCTATATGAAACTGGGAAAGTCAGTTTTAGGGGGAATGCTTCGATTGAATTGTTTGTGTTCCTATAATCTACATAATTTACATTTTAAAAGCACAGAATAGTACAGAAGTGTAACTATGAAATGAATTCTGCCCACTTGAATTTACTACAAGCATTCGTCCTGTCTGCACTTGACAATATTGTGTTATATTAAACAAAAACAAAAACAAAAAAACAGATACTAATAACAGATACAGATCGATAGACTGATACTGAAAAAAAAAAAAGCCAAAAATTACTTTTAGAATAGTCTGGATCTATATCAGAACTACAAGAACAAGTTATAAAGTATAAACCACAATTATTTTGTGTTTGAAACCATATTATGTTATATTATACTGTATAAAATATGTGTCTTATTTATTATTAATGTGCCTTTTCCTTAGAATCAAAATTAAGTTATATATTTTATTTTCATGATAACAATACTATTCTGTTCAATACAAGTTTATTTATATTACACATTCAAAACAAGTAAAGTAGTTCTGGCAACAGTTAATCACTGTTCTACATGAGCCGTAACAACAGGTAACCAAATGAACTACTGTTAGAAGGGACTAGCTTCAAACAAAAAACAAACAAACTAAAACAAAAATAACTATTGCCTTGAACATCCATGGACAGCCAAAATGTTGTTGTTTAACCCTTACATAGAATAGTAACATCACACAATATACTAGCCAAGGCCCTGTGTATAAACTGGCACAATTCCCACACTTATCTATCTGTGGTAACCCATTAGGCTTTACTGGGTGACCCCTGACCTTGGCTGAGGTCGTGGCCAGGGTCTTCATTAGGGGATAAATCATAAACACCTGAACGGCTGACCCGGGTGCAGTGCTGAGGCTGTATCATCTGGTATTCATTTGGGGTCGCGGTGCTGTGTAAATCGGGTTAAACCAGCGGCTGCGACCCTCAGGGCTCAGAGCTCTTATTAAAAATGTGGCCACAACCCACTCTCAATGTGTCAGAGAGTGAGGGAATGCTGAGAAGACATGGAAAGCCAGACTGCAACCCTGGACGAATATGGATTTATATAGGCCATGTATTGCAATTTAGAATTAGCAATTAGAATTACTAACAAAAATATATGTGGTACAAGACTTTATGTGCTAGGGTTGACAAAAGTATTGAGAGCCAGTGCAGATACTAATCAATACTAAAAATGGTATCTAAAAATCCCTCACATGAACAGGACTAAATTGGACCTTTACTTTACTTAATCTATAGCAGAACTAATATAAGACCGTGTTGTAACTACTAATATTGTGTGCGGAAAATTACTCTCTATTGTCAAAAAAAAGAGTTTATCATCACAATCACAAGTTTTTTCTTCAGTATCGAAATCAAGTCAAAATTTTAGTATCATGACAACACAACTTTATATGACCCAAAAATGAAGGTTGTTTTAGTGACCATGTCTTTATAATGTAAAACAGTTGGGAACAATTGTGGTTAGTGAAAGTACTGACCTCTCCGTGGGCTCTCATGGTTAAAGAGGATACCGTTGACAGCAAACATGTTGTAGGCTTCTCGGAAGTTCACCACAATCCAGTAGGCATAGAGCTTAGCAGCACCTGGACACAGGGAGGGGGAAAAAACAACACTGGTTTGTTGTGGAGTTTATGGTCTATAGATGATAAACAATTTAGGAACAACACAAGACATACACATACCCAAGTCAATAGACAATAACAGAAGCATATCATCACCAATTATTGTGTGAATGAATAGTAATATATAAGGTATAAAAAGCTTTGGGTGTCTTGAAAGGCAATATATAAATCTAATGCATTTATTTTATTTTATTTTTCACCAAGTCTAAGTATTATTTAAAGCTCCTATATTACACAATTACACATAGCTTTAAGCCATGCTATAATTATTATTGTTGTTACCTCCTCAAATACATACCTGGAGTAGTGTTTTGTTTCATTCATACATGTTTGAGTAATCCTGCATTATTAGTCTGTCTATATCTCCAAAACTCTAAATGCTCTGTTCCACCTTGTGATGTCATGTAGTGGTAGTTTTCAAGTTAACAGCTACCTTTTACATTCAATTCAGTAGAGAATTCCAGGTCTGAAATTATGCAAATGATTCAAGTGAAGATGTATGGTGTTTAAAAACACAGTGGAGCACTTCCTGTATTATCACATGTCATCACAAGGTGGAAAAGAGTGTTTTCAGTTTGAGAGAAAAACTCAGCCTAAAAGTGCAGGGTTTGCGTGCATAACTCCAGGTATGTTTTTGATAAGGAAACATCATTATAACAAACAGCAGATCAAAAAAACTGAGTAATAAGGGACTTTTAAATATTTATAAAATCTCACAAAAATGCAATTTACCAATTTTTTAAACATTCTATTGTGTCATTTGTCTACATAGTTAAAATTTCTGGTATTTTGGTGTGTTGTAAGAGGTTAGAGTTATGAAAAACAGCAAAAAGAAAAAGAAAAAAACTAAAACTTGCCAATAATAAAACATTTACTATCACTTCATATTTTATAATCAGAAAAGGTCAACCACAAACTCCTGTTGAGTGACCAAAACCAGGCTCGGACCAAAAAAAGAACTCCGCTCTTTTCCTGTCGCCATGGCGCTCCCTCCCCTCCACAGCGTTGAGGGGAATACCAGAGCCAGCGCGGGGAGGTACCCGTTGATTAAGCCACAGGTCAGGGCGTACACTAGAGGTGAAGGAAGGACGCTAACGAAACTCCCCTTTTTCCTAAGACTAATTAATAGACAATCTGCCCTCCCTTATGATGGTATGTGCCTCCCATACTGCAGCAGATTGAGTGGTGACAGATGGGGAAAGTGTCAGCATTTAAACAACAGAGAACATGAAACCCGAGGAGCAGTTCACGTGTATGGCCTCTGCGTGTTGAAAGTGAGCGCTGGATATAAAGGTGTCTTTGTTAAACGCTGCAGTCAGTCAGACGTTTGGCCTTGGGGTGCACGGAGAGCTCAATAGGTATTTAGTGCTAAAGACCGGCCCTGCTATTCACTTACACACAGACACAAACAAAAGGGTAAAGAGTAACGCGGAGGAGCTATCAAGTAGTTTAGGCTGTCACCATATGATCTGATGGTGGATTGCAGAAGGTAGAACTGCCTGTTTTAAATTATAGAATGCTATGGGTTACAACTGTGTAGTCGTGTTGTCATAAAATCTAAAACTGATTCTTATAAGAAAAACACTTGACTCTTTATTATGTACGTATGTATGTAAGTTTTTGTTTGTACCAGTATTTGAACGAAACTTGGGTTTTTGGTACCTTTTATTACTATCATTATCTAGAGTAACAAACTGTAATTTATGATCATTCTAAATCAAAGTCACAATTATAAGTAACTTAAAAACTTTTTATCAAAAGAAAAAAAAACATAAAAAATTATAATTTTTAGTAAAAAAAAAGTTTTGTCAAAATTTTCTGTACTCGTTTTGCTAAAATCTTTCCGGTTCCCAGCTCTAAGCTCATTACGATATTAAAACGCCCTTTTGTTAGATAATACAATTTTATTTTCAACAAACCTTAGTTTGTAGCATCTTTAATATGTGTTACATATTTTTCAATGCCTATTTCTACATGCTTGTTGTTCTTGAACTGTGAGTCGCAACATTGAAATTTTCCCATGGTGGGCCAAATAAAATAAGATAAGAGATGTATCGAATTGGTGTGATCTTTTTAATACAGATAAACACTATACTAAAGCTATTCAGCACAAATACTGTTTTCTGTACACAATAGTGCTGTTACCATAAGGTGATCGGGGGTAGAAGGGAGTGGTCTCCTTCTGGGGGATCTCCTGCACTTTGCCGTACAGCTCACTGGTAGAGGCCTGGTAGAAGCGCACACTGTTGGTCAGCCCACACGTCTGGATGGCATCGAGAAGCCGAAGAGTGCCGACCCCATCCACATTCGCTGTGTACTCAGCCAACTCAAAGGATACCTAAGAAACAGAAGAGACAATATGTTTTAAGAATTTGATTTGTATACTATTTTGTAACAAGTTTTGTTCTGAATCGGTCATCTTAAACAACTATAATCCCACTTAGACTAATAGTTTTGCAGTGTTGTTTTTCCCATACTGTATATTTTGTATTTGTATATCAAAGTCTGTAACTCTTTGGTGGGCCTGTCACCTGCATGTTTCTATGGATATGTTACTGCTCTGCCCAGAATGTTCCACAGAATGACATTAAACAGCTCTACCATACATTTATTCAATTACAGGTTTTATAGCTCAAAAGTCAGTCAGTCATTCAGGCATTCTGACTGAGTGGCATCACCTCTCCACAGATCTGACCTGTAACTTAGTCTCTTTGATCTCCACAAAGATAGAACATTTTTATATCATACTGTGATGGTTTGGATGGATCCTCTACCAGAAAAGTTACACAATGCACCTTTAATGCATGTCCTTGTTTTAATTTTTTCAGGTAAAAAAAAGTCAAATATTATATGGGGAATCCAAAGTACATAAAAGTAATGCTAATGGTAATCCGATCCACTGAAAGTAGGTGGAGATTGTGATAGAAAAATCACTGGATAACATGTGAATTGTAAAAGCTTTAACAAATCATTCCGACTCCCAGAATGGCTGTTTCCTTTAGAGAGGGGGTCATAGAGGGAGGGCCTAAAGGATCACTTGGGGTGGATTAGGTGGAAATGAAAAGTGTATGGAGGGTCCGTGTATAGCCTAGTTTGGTCCGGGGGCTCGTAATCAGGCATGACGGTTAAAGACGTGCTGTTTAGTGACCACCACAACTGGAGAGAGGAGAGCCTGAGCCAGACCTGAGCCAAATCTGAGCCAAACCTGAGCCAGGGCTGAGCAGAGGAAACACTGTGCCTACTGCCTCCACTGCAGCACAGGCTTCTGATAGATAAAGACCCCTTATTTAAAGCAGGCCTGAGAACACTGGGCCTCTATCCCCACACAGCACACACTCACACACACACAGCACTTAGCAGGTTTGATCAGGGTCAATTACACTGCTCAGCTCGCGCTAATAGTCTGTGACGTGTCTTTTTTACTCTGCATTCCACCTTTTACACACGGAGGTGACAAATATAATACAAATAGGCCATATGAAATGTTAATGCACTCAAAAACTAAATGAACAATGAAAATATCATTAATACAAACAAACTATGGCTCAGTGTTGTGTTAAATCAAAATGTGATTTTATTACCATAGTGACTGACCACTACATTTTGACATTTTAAATGAAACTCGTACTGTCAGACCAGAACACGTGTAACCAGTACATGCTTTTCAGGTCAGGCTGGCTGGAGCCAGTGTCAGAGTCTGTTAGGTCCTTTGGGCCTAAAACTGCAGCAGACGATACAAGTGCTCATGAGCTGTGGAGTGTGCAGGGGGCTCCTCCTACAGTAACACTGCTCTCTCTGGACCTCATAAACCTTATTATAAGCTGCTACCTCCCTCTTTATCCAGCCCTCTACACTGTCTGTGTGAGGCATTTCTGCTGTTTTTCTTCCACCACTGAGGCCCGGGACACACTCTTGGGGTATCAAAACCAGCTGAGAGGGGCAGGGTCCAGGACACCTTGACAACTTAAATCAAACAAATTGCCTTAATGCCTCCATTCTCTGTCATTATGTAAGGCAAGGCTTGGGCGCTGACGGTTTAAAGGCCAAGTGTTTGCATACTCCAGTGTGGGGTGGCGGGGCCCCTCTCCGACCTGGCAGATATTGTTCTGTTCTGGGAATCCAGCCAGAGTGGAGCTTTGGGGGTCTGTCGGAGAGCAAATACTCCAACGTGAAAGAAACGAGCCGTTTAAAAGCTCTAAATGTAGAGACGACGTGCAGCGGTTTCACTTCTTTCCTGCTCTCAGGCCTATTGAAATGCATGCTTGAAAGTGGGGAATGCAACTCAATGTATGTGTGTGGGGGGGTCACAGTGACAGACGTATAAATATAAGCTGCTTTTATTCAGCCATGACCTTGGCACATACCTGATGCACTGTGCTGTGTGTGTGCTGCAGGAAAGAGCACTTAGAGCAATCACAGAAAACTACTGCCCTACAATAATAACTCTTTAAAAAATACTTTTACTACTACTACTACTCTAATGTGCACACTGGCACATGTGATAACTCCCTGTAACAGAAATGTAAAGTTTACTATGTGGATGCCTTTGATCCTTCAGTGGCTACAATGAAAACAAATGTTGTTGGTGGTAATTAAATTGCTGGCGAAGGATGTGACGAGTCTGAGATTGACTGTTGTTTCATGGTTCTGTATGAACATGGCATTCTATTATTGACAACAATTCCCGCCAACCACAAACAAACTAAGCAAACAGGGGATGACAGGCAGAAGGAGGAGAAAAGGAAAACTGAATAAGACATCAGTGTAAATCAAACCACAATTCTCAACCTTGATTTAAAGGATCAAAAACAACACAATATCGGTCTTTTAACAGCAGAGTACAACCAAAGCAACACTGCCATTTTCTTTCTGAGATCTGGTTTTGTTTTCAGACCCCTAAAAGTGTGACAAGATAAGTTTCAGAAGAGAGATAAATAAATAAACATAAATTACCATTTGATAGTTAGGATGAGGATTTATGTATTAGAATACGCATGTGTCAAAAATAATTCCATGTTGGATTTCGCAATGAACGAAACCCAAAGGAGGAGAACGCCTCAGTCCCAGTGGCTCATGTTTTATGTTTCTGTGGTGTGGCTAAGCTACAGTTGCTGTAACGCGGCCCACGCGTATCACCCAAACACCACTATCTCCATCATCAGCGGGGGCCTCCTCCTGTCAGATCCTGTTAGAATTGTGTCACTTTGAATCACATTTCTTTAGAAAAACAACAAGGCAAACACTTATTCCTGCACTGTTAAAAATGGGTGTGAAATATTTGCATTAACAGAATGGAATAAAAATGAGTGGGCACGGTTGACATTGCATCATGCACAAAGAACGTGTTGTATTCCCTCCAAACAAAGGTGTGCTTACAATGGTTCAGTGCTGCCACTCCGCAATACCAAGTGACTACATGTACAGCCACTAAGCCAAAAAAGCCATCAGTGCTCTGGCATCTTATTCATTCTCACAAATCAACAACACACGCCTCTCTCATTCCATCAATTCCTATATAAGTACAAGTTTAGAGGAGACAAAGCCAGACTTTTACCAATTACCAGCAATTACACGATCCTTATCTGCAATATCAAGGATCCCATTGAAAACAAATCTATGCGTATTATATGGCTTGTTCACACAGATTTATACATTAAATGACAGCTTCCTTATTATGGTAATTGTGGTACTTGAAAAGCTTTGTGTCAATATTAGCTTGGCATTTTGTATGTTTCAATCAGAGCCAGGAATAATGTCATGGATGAACTATGTTTATTCACCTTTCATCGTGTTTTGGCAGGTAGAATCTGTATGGAAATATGTCAATACAATCCTGATTGTGCAGCAGCACCAGGAGATACTGGTATAAAAAATGGCACACAATACTGAAGAAGACTTAGAATTAATGATAATAATATAATATTGCAGTTTATCTTGAATGGCAGTAGAATATTATAATATTAAACCTACAGACCTACTGCTCTGCTTGAACATTGAGTCTTGTATCTCAAGACAGCATTTTATATTTTTTACTTGTACATATACATTTATTTAAAATTATGCCTTATTTGACACCAGTCTCTTGCTATTTTTGGTACTTATTTTGAATGTATCATTACCACTTATCATTCTTATTATTATACTGTGATGTGTAAGCTACTTTGTCCAAATAATCTCCCTTATGGATCAATTAAGTTTGTCTAAGTCTAAGTCTAAGTTTAGTGAAATAATAGACAATCTATTTGCATGCAGGAACAAAGCATTAAGGTCTAATCCCTGTATGCACTCATCATTCCCATTTCAATCAATGTTTTGTATGTTGTCTAATTATAGATGCCTGTGCTTGGTTAACACTGAGTCTGCTGCAGCTATGGCAATGCACAAATACAAGTCAAACAGCTCAAGAGGATCGGGTGGAAAGACAGACATGGTAGGATGGGCGCAAGTGTGGAGAGATAGAAGAGAGGGATGGGGAGGAGGAAAGAGACAGAAAAACAGAGGAAAGAGAGGTGAGAGAGGGAGATAGAAAAAAAAAGAAGTGAGAGACAGGGAGAGAGAAGTGAGAGGGTTAAGAGAGAGGAAAGAGACATACACACAGAGAAACAGAGAGAAAGAGAGACTGAGAGAGAGTACGTAGTGTGTGTGTGTGTGTGTGTGCGTGTGCGTGTGCGTGTGTGTGTGTGTGGTTGTGCGTGCCTGCGTGTTTGTGTGTGTGCATGCGCGCGTGTGTGTGTGTGTGTGTGTGTGTGAGACAGAGGGTGAGAGAGTGAAAGACAAGGAGAGGCAGAGAGAGAAGAGATTACTTGAGTGTGTGTGTATTGGAGCAGGCACATAAGGCCCGTGGACTGGCTGTCAAATCCTCCAGACTCTGGAAAGTCCCTGTCTGCCTCACGGTGCAAAGCTGTATTATCGCTGCACTTGTGATGGAAGCAGGTAGACTTATACTAACTGAATTGATCCACAAGGGAAATTACTGATTTGATAAACTCTTGATCATTTTAAAAGGAAAAAAGAAGTGGTTGGAACATAAATCAGAAAGATGTATAATAATAAATGAAATGATTAACATGTAAAAGTACTAAAACATATTCCATAAAAAATAATAATTGGGTTGGGAAACAGAAAGAATGTACTCCATCCATTCTATTATCACTATGTCAAAGATTCAGGGAAAACAAAATATACCTAAATGAGATAAACCCTATTTATTTCTGCCTGTCCTTGATGGCCAGATCTCCCCTGTAGACACTTACCTCAAATCAATCAGAGCTCCTTCACAAATGTAAACACACATGTAAACAAACATGGCAACTGTGCTGAGAGGACTCACCAGAGGGC